GGATCCTAATCGTTCTAAAACAAAGGTAATTATTTATTAAAGTTAAAATTAGTAGACAGTAATAAAAAAATAACTTTTTAGCTTGAATTTTCTTTGATTTTGTTTTTGTTAGGTAAAAAATGTTTAGAAATAAACATAAGTGCTTAAAAGAGAGTTGAGAATTTTGAATCAAAAAATTATTAAGATTTCAATAATAAGTAAATATAATAAAGGTTAATTAGAATTAGAACAAACTTAGTTTGAAGATCAAGTTCAAACAGTTCACTATCAAAAGGATTGTTCTAACTTATTTTCAACATTGTTTAATGCATTCAGGCATTGATTTAGGCAGTACCATATTTCCAAAATATATTTATATTAGTATCTGCTAAATAACTTAATATAAATGTATATATATATATATATATATATATATATATATATATATATATATATATATATATATATATATATATATATATATATACATATATTTATATATTTATATATATATATATATATATTATAATATAATAATATATATATATATATATATATATATATATATATATATATATATATATATATATATATATATATATATATATATATATATATATATATATATATATCAGCATAAAAAACCAGAAATCACAGACGGGAAGTCAATGCTAATAGAAAAAGTTATAAAAAAATAATTAAAAAAATTGTTAAAAAAACAACAAAGTACAGTTGAGATAATGTTCTTTTACACTACAATTTTGAATAGTAATAAAGTAAAAACTTCAATCTTTGTAAATAAGAAAAAAATTTTTTAATCTTATTGCTCATTTTATCTCATGCTCATTAAAATCATTTTAAAAACCTCAAATGTTAATTGGTTAATAATAATGTTATTAACTCTTGTTTGCAGATACTATTTAAACTAATTTTTATCTATTTATTTAATACTAAGAATACGATTGATTTATAAAAATTACTAATGTAACATAAAACAACTTTTTAACTAAATATATATATTTAATAATCTTGATATAATATAAAAAAAGCGCAAACATGCAATTAGTAATTTTAATTTTATCTATAAATCATTCATTCATTTGTTTGCAATTTGCGGCACAACTTACAAGAAAAGAAAATAAGAAAAATAAAGCAAATTGACTAGGTGCAGTTGAAAGAAAAAAGGTTTTTAGTTAAATACAGAAATTATTATTTATTATAATATTATTATTAAAATAATATAATGAATATTTTTATAAGAATAGTAATAAAATAAGAACTTCAATCGTTTATGAAAAATGAATTATCACCACCAGTAAAATGAAAGTAATTTAGATATTATTTAATTGTCTTTCTTAAAATTTAAATATTATTTAAATTACTTCACTTATTTGAAATAAGTGAAGCAAAAAAACTTAATTGAATAACTTAATAGATATAGTTTATATTGTGTATAATAGACCTCCTAGCCACGGAATTTTGCTTTCATGGCTGGCTAAAAAAATTTCTGTCCAGCTAGCTGATAGCATGAACGGCTAGCCTACATTTTTGTGGCTGGCTAGCCGACTTATTTCTTTGGCTGCTTAGCTGGCTATTTTATTTATATATATATATATATATATATATATATATATATATATATATATATATATATATATATATATATACAATAAAAATAATTCTGACCTATGGAATGATTATTTCTTTTCATTTTAAAATGTCAATTGCGCAGATGACCACTTTTCTTTTTTTTATGATAAACGATGACTACTGTTTTCAGACTGCAAGAGACTTTTTTATAGCGCGAAAATTAAGTATTCGAACATAAGACTTACGGTATTTTAATTCGAGACTAATTTACAGCATTCCATGGTTAAACCAAATACTTTATTACAAAACAATTGGTAGGCGATATGATAAAATTATATGCCTAAAATTGGACATAAACTAATTTAAAGATTAAATATTAATTCACTGACTATGACTGTTACGGCTGGCTACGGCTACTTAATTTCATGGCTGGCGAAGGCATTTTTCACAGCTGGCTCAAAAATAGTGCTTAGCGATGGCTAGCGGCTAACCGCAGCGGCTTGCGGGTCTAGTGTATAATATTCATTTTTATAATATTCGTTAAATGTAATTAAATATAAAATTCATTATATAATATTCATTAAATTGAATGTAAATAAAATATTTGCAGTTAAATTAACTCTTCGTTATTTTTATTTATATATAACAACAAACATGTATATAGAAAGCATTTTCTATATTCAATTTGTTTTCTATGTTATTATGCTTTTAGGAGCTAGGAGCTTTTTAGGAGCAATAAATCGAACGACCAAGGGTCTATAGAAAATGTTTGACTTAATAAATGTTTGACTAAAGCGAATTTTCTGTTGAAAGTCATACTTTGGCTGATATGAAGTATTAGTTTGAGTTAAGATGATTTTTCTTTATTCAATGTTAAAGTTTAAACATTAAATATACACTATTTTACCTATTACTCTAATAAAAGCATGAAAAATGTTTCAGTGAAAAAATTTGCATATTGTATTTGCACTTGAAAGGTAACATTAAAAAAACATTACATTTAACATTAACTACATTCTCTACACATAAAAGGTAATTATTATTCATAATTACTGTTCATAATTCCTTATTATTTGGTAATAAAAATGCGTCTAAAAGCTTGTGATCTTTTTTAAAGAAATATTTAATCATAAAACAAATGCTTTTGAAATGGTATTTTTTAATGATTTATTTTGTAGTAGTTTTATGATAGCGTCTGATAACGATCTATTCTATTAAGATCTAAATACAATATAAAAATACAGAAAATATTAGACTACTGCTTATTTATGTTTTATATGGAATGACTTCTTAGAAATTTGATCAAGTTATTTAGATTTCTTTATTTTCTATACAAAATGTTTGAGTAAACTAAAGATATTTGCTGAAAAGTTATAGAAAAATGGTTTGATTTAACATAGTTCGAGTTATTGTTGGTTTAATTCTTTAAGATTGTAGTTGTGAAGGTTGGCCTTTAGAGACAAAATCTAGAAACTTAATGCCAAAATTTATCTTGAAAAAGAAGCCATTTTTTGAATTTAGTTTTTTAATGAGAATTCTGTTACTATTTAGAGATTGAATAAATGTGCGCTTCATCATGAGTTAGAACTACTGAGAGAAGATATTATTGGAGCAGCTAAACATTTGTATAAGTTAAGATATCAACACACCTTAAAAGGTGAGCAATACTATTGATATATTTTGTTCATAACTTAATTGTAGGTATGGGAAGAATGGTGTTGTGAAATTTGGCTTGATAGTAATCTTTACAATAAAATTACTCAATCGTGATCATTCAAACAGGTAACCTTAATAAAGGATGTTAGTTCATAAACTTGCTACAATTCTTCTAGAATGTCATATTTATATATAAAAACGGCGTTATGGAAATCTGGCTAAACCACACAACTGAGTAACTATGGGCAAGAAACTTAAATAAGAATTAATAAGCATAACATTACATAAATTAACATTATATATTCATGAGCCTTATCTGTTAATATATAATATATATTTATTATAAAAATTCTTAATATGTTTTTTTTAAAGTATGGTCTTATTATTATTATTATTATTATTGCTATTATTGTTATTATTATTATTATTATTATTATTGCTATTATTATTATTACCATTTAAAATTACATGTTCAAATTAATATTTGCTTTTAGGTGCAGGTATTGGAAACTTAAAAGATGTACCTGATGGCATATTGCTTGATACTTCTATGATTCCTAAATATAAAAAATCAAGTGACACACAAGGATATTTATCGTAAATACCAGTTTTTTAGTTATTTTAATTTGTTAGTATATAATTTCTTATTATTTGTTAAAAATTGTAATTTTCGAAGATTCGATATGCATATGCATATATTTTTTACACTTAAATGTGAAAAATATAAAAATGCAAATGCATTTTTTTTAATAAAGTCTATTGACAAAAGGAGTTAACTGAATATTTAATGTTTATCTTCTGTTTACTTTATAAATTATTTGTTTAAAAAAAATTATAAAAAGTGTTTCATAAAAATGTATTTTTGATATACATTATTGTGAAAATATTTTTTTATTTCTATATATTTTGATTTAAGTTGTAAAAATATTAAAAACAGTTTTAAATAATAAAGAAACATAAAATTAAGGTTTTAAAACTAACAACAAGTAAATTTCTAAAGGCACTTTTATTTTTTCCAGTGTTGCTGGATGTTGTGTCAGAACAAAATCCAATAAACTGATCAGATATCTCAAGCATTATTTGATTGGCAATGGCATGATCACTTCCCTAGGAGCTTTTAATTCCTAAAATGTTAAGGAAAAAATATAGTAGACAGAGCATTTCTATCCTCATTTTTAGATATTTTTTTTTCTGAATTAACTTTTTCAAACTCTTGTATCAAAATGTATCACAGTCTTTAAACCTATTTTATTTATGTTTTCCTCCCTGATTATCTGTGCTTTAGACTCCACAACACTATGTGTTTTCCTGTTTGATATTGAGATATTATCAGCTAAATGTATGATATTAAGATATATGTCAACTCCACCAGTAAGTAAAGAGAAGACAAAAGACACATAACTGTTTAGACTCCAGTTCCAAATCTGCTCATAATTGGAGTCCAGTTGTGAAGATTGAATCTTTAGTATTATATTCCATTAAGTGAATGCAAACTCAGTTTGAATTTTGACTCAGTTTGAGCTCATTTTAAATCTTTTATGTTTTTTTTGGGTTTTAGCTAGAGGTAAATATGGCTTGTCACATTTAAATCAGTTTTCACTATGCTTGAAAAGTCTTTGTCTGAATGGTTGCTTTCTTTTTTCTTATTGTTATCTTCATACCTTTGGATCTTCTATTACATTTTTATCAGTTTTTCTTGTGCCCTCTGAGGTCTTTCCAGTTAGACAATCAATTTTGTGGTAAAAAAACAACATTTCAAAAATTACATTAAGTAATAAATACGCAACATGTAACAAATGTAATGTTTTTATTATTTAGTTACCATTTTACCTTTTGTTGAGATAAGCCAGTAGTACCAATACAAGTCGTACAATTTAATATCAAAATTGAATAATTTTTGAATACATCAAAATTAAATAAATTTAGATGAATTTACTTTCATTATAAATAAAAGGAAATTTACCTATATAATCTTCCTCATGAGATATTTTTTTTGTTTTTTATTTTGTTATTAATTGACAAATATAATTCACATATTAAGATTTAACATATGATATATTTTTGGGACACGTTAAAAAACAGCTTAGTTTGGCTTTAATTTCATAAGCTACTGCAATCTCCAAGCTACCACAAAAAGAAATTATGTTTAAGATATGTTATTCATAATTATACATAGTTATACATAGTTATACATAGATGAGTTATTTCCGGTAATTCCCGGAATCCCGGAAATTCACTTAAAACTCATTTAATTTTCCAGAAATTTCTGGATATTTTTTGTTATTAATATGAAAAAAAATATTTTTACATAAAATTTTAAATACAACAACTTTTGCATTTAA